TTTTCTTCTAGTTTCAAAGCATCTGGACATCGGGTTCATCCTGGGTCAGTCTGCTCTACAGAAGGCTGGGTGGGCCTCAAGTCGAGGCTCCTGCAGGTGCATGTTCGGTTTTTCCAGCTTCACCTCCTTCTTCAGCTCTGGGCCTTTGCTAGGTGATCTATGTTCTGTTCCGTTGCTCTGTGTCCTTTTATATGCCAATGCCACGCTGTTTGGGTCACTGTGACTCCGTCTAAAAGTCGGGAATGGTGATGTCTCCAGCTTTAGCTATTCAGGCCCTTTGGTGTCTCCGTATGAACTGTACGATTTTTTCCTTCATCCTGGGAAGAAGGTGTTTTTATGGGATTGTATTTGAGCTGGAGGTTGTGGTAGGTGGTGTGGACATTTAAACAGTATTACCTTGTCCAGTCCGTGACGATGGGAGCCCTTTTCCTGTTTCTTTTATTAGTAGTCTATTTCCATTGTAGGGGCTTCCTTGGGCAGGTTTTTGCTTTGTTATAAAAACAACTGTATTTATAGTATAATTCATAAAACAATTTGATTGTTATCGGAGTAGAGAAAAGCTGCCGATTTCATGTCAGCCGCCACTTGACTGAATTCGTTTCAGTTCTCGTAGTCTATTGGTGGTGTCTTTAGCCAGAGAAGTCAGGCAGGAGAAACTCCTCCTAGTGTACAGAATAAGAGCAGTGGGGGTGGACGCTTGTCTTGTTCCTGGTCTGAGGAAATGCTTCCAGCTTTTCCCCCATGCAGTAGGCTGGGGGTATGCCTCTGTCATGTAGGGCCTTTCTTGGGTTGAAGTATGATCCTTCTATACTCAATGTGTTCAGGGCTTTTATCACAAAGGGAAGTTGAATTTTATCAAATGCTTTTTCTGCAGCTGTTGTAATGATAAGTGTTACATTTATTGACTTAGTTATCCTTAAATCCTTGGAATGAATCCCAGTTGATCCTGGTGAGCGAGCCTCTGGGTACATGGTTTAGTTTTACTTGCTGGTGTTTTGGTGGAAACTTTTGCTCTGTCATTTTGTTGGTGTGTCCTATGCTGGCCTTGTATAACGAACTCCTGTCCAATCCTGCGAAGTACTTTAAGAAGCATTTGTGCTGGTCTTTGAGTTTGGTAAAATTCAGCAGTAAAGCCATCAGTCCTGGACTTTCCTTTATAGAGAGATTTTATTACTGCTCCTATCTCAGTGTTGATTCATTCAGGTGTCCTGTTGTGTCCAGAAACTTGTTCGTTTCTCTACTTTTCTAATTTGTCATAGTTTTTTGTAATAATTCCTAATGATCTTTTGTATTTCTTTGTATTTGTTCTAATTAGCCATACATGACAGTAGAATGCATTTTGACATACATAAATGGCGTGTAGCTTCTCATTTGTCAGGGATCTCTTGTATTTCTGTTATCATTTGAAATGTCTCCCTTTTCATCTTTATTTGGGTCTTTTTATTGGTTATTATAATTAAATGCTTGTCCATTTTGTTTATCTTTTCAATGACAAAAATCTTTGTTTCATTGATATTTGAGTCTGTAGTCCTGCTCTGATCTTTGTTGTTTAATTTGGGACTTGTTAGATTCCAGTTTCATTTCATTGTGATGAGAAGGAAAACAGGATATGATTTCCTTGATTATTTAAAAGTACCAGGGATTGAGCCCAGGGCTTTACACATGTTAGGCAAAAACTTCATCACTGAGCTACATCTCCAGTCCTTTTTAAAATATTGTTTGAGATAGCAACACAGTATACTAAAACTTGTGGATTCTATTTTCATTCACTTTGAGAAATGTTAAGAATCTTCCTTCCAATTTCTTTAATGCCTTAAAAATAAGTTTAGTCTCCATGCGTTGTACAAGTCCTACAATTTGTTGGATTCTGGTTTCATTTCATTGTGATCCAAAAGGGTACAGGATGTGACTTCAGTGTTTTTGAATTTTCTTGGGATGTTCTGTAAATGTCTATCAAGTCCATTTGAGTCCGTTTTGTCCAAGTTGTCTGCCCATTAACAAAAGGGGCATGTTGAAATCCATATGCTATCAGAGCCTGTCTCTTTAGACTTAATAGTTTTTGGTAAAACTGGCCGCTTCAACCTTAAGTACATGTGAGTTTGTGTCTTCTTGTGGATCCCTTCATCAGTGTACGGCTGCCTTGTTTCTCTTGGAGTTTTCATCTTCAGGTCTATTTTGAAGGAGGTCATTGTAGCTGGTCCTGCTGACTTTAGGGTTCCACTTGCTTGGATCATGGTTTCCCAGCCTTAGAGGGTGAAACTTAACTTTCACACACTCTTTCAATGGGAGAATTTAGTCCACTTACATTCAGTGTCATTACGATAAGGACTTACTCTTTTCAGGTTGCCCATTTCCTTCTAGTTTTCAGTATTCTTTATTTCCATTCCCTCTTTCACCTGGTGGTTTACTGACTATTAGTAAAGTTCTATTCTTCTCATGTTTTCCGTCACCTCCAGATGTAGGACTCCCTCAGGTGTCTTTTGAGAGCCTGGTCTGATGGTCCTCAATTCCCAGTTTTAATCTTGGTTATTTTCTTTCCGTTCTTAGTAGAAACCTTACCAGACAGTAAGGGAATGACATCCTGACACATCTGCTGTTGTTTTGATGGGGATGCCTTTATTATGTAGGACCTTGGCACTTTTCTCTTGAACATTATCTTGTATTTTTCAGTTTGACTGGAATATGACCAGAAAAATTTTCACCAGTCTATCTATTTGGGGTTTTCTTAGTGTCCTGTATGTCTGTCCATATCTTTTCCTGGATTATGGAAGATTCCTGTTATTTCATTGAATAGGTTTTCTAGGCCCTTAAACTTTATCTACTTGCCTTCAAGTACAGATATTTTTTCTTCTACTTCATCTTGTCTTTTGTTGAGGTTTTCAACAGCTCCCTGATGTTTCTAATTCAGATCCTCATTTATTTTCCTTAAACCCTGTAACTATTTTCTATCCCATTAAAATGTCTGATAGAAATCTTTAAATTCTTTATTTCAGTGTTTGTGGTATCCACTGTTACATTCCTTTGGAAGCATAGTTCATACCCCCTTAGAATAGTTGATTCCTTCTTAGAAGACAGCTCTCTCCTGGAGGTGTTGGCTTTGTTTCTAGCTGGACACCACAGAATTGTCTTCCGTACCCTCACAGCGGGTATCAAAGGTAGAGACCCCCCCTCTCAGCAGGTCGCACATTTGGTCTTATTAGCATTCTAGCAGTTTAGGCAGGAAGGGGTGCTCCCTGTGTCTCCTATTGTAATGGGGATGTCCTTGGGCACCGATGAAGCTAGTTCTACAGCAAGAGTCTCTGCCCTGATGGCACCTGAAAGACCTGTCCTCTGACCAAAGTGGGCAGACAGGTGGCAGCAGAACTGTGGTGTTCCCCTCTGCCAGTGCCATGACAGTTCCTCCTGGGAGCAGGACCTCAGCAACAGTGCATTTGGACCCCCTTCGCTGTATGCACTGGGGGCAATAGGCAGTCCCCCCATAGTGCCATCTGAGAATGGGCAGGTGTGGGGCTCAGCAGGAGCCCAAAGTTACCCAAGATTCCCCCCTTGCAAGCTCAGGTGACAGCCAGCGTTGCTTGAGGCCCCCCCTCCAGCCATGCGGCTCTTGAGGAATTTACATACCTTCAATCTTTCAGCTCCAGGAGTACTCTGCCATGTATGTGTGAGGGCTGTTCACAACTCACAGTGGAAACTCATCAATGCATTCCCAGCTCCAAAATATGGTACAAAAAGTCGGTCTCACAAGTGCTGTATCCTAGAGGTGGCGAGAGTGTGGGTGCACCACGGAGCTCCTGCCATCGCCTCCCCCGCTGTGGGGAAGTTGGCTCCTAGTTAAGGACCGAGTGCAGGGAGACCTGCACGGTATTTGCCCAGATGCCTGAGGAGAACAGAGGTAAACAATGGTTTGATAGCCAACAGCTTTATTGGTTTTGCAATTAGTCTCCTACAGTCGAAATAAGAATTTTTCCCACATCTATGACATGTAAATATTAGCCTTCGGAAATTGGGTTGTAAACATTAATTTTCCCAGTTCCTATTTTATTCTTCTCCTTACTCACTCACCTATTGATCCATTCTCTCCGTCCCTTCTGCCATCATCTCCCGCTGCCATGGACACTTACCAGTTGCTTCTCAGTTCTCTGCTCCTCGAGCACCATCCAGGGCTTCTCTGCTGTGTGTGGTGAAGTCCTGCTTCCCCACCCAAGCCAGAGGTGTGCAGGGCTTGTGACTGGGTGGTGGAGTTCCTGCTCTCCCACTGTCTCTGGGTGGCCCCCTCAGTGTGCCTTTATGCAGTGTTTCTCAGCCGCCCCTTCCCTACCTCCGTCTCTCACCATGAGGTTTTGGCTGAGGGAAGCCGGGGATTCCAAGGGAGATATAGAAAGTGAAAGTCTCCTACAAAAGGACTCAAGTTATGCTTGACACACAGAGCCACTCAGTCTCCGGGTACTCCTCCCTCTCTATCCCCACACCAGAAACCTAAAAAGCAGCAGAGTCCAGTTCCTGATGTCAGTGGTTTCCCAACCTTTTCCTTGTCTGGGAGAAAATAGTTGTTTGTAGGTAATGCCAGGGTCCATGGAGAGGACTGTGACCCCTCCTGCTGCTGTAGACTGGCTGCAAATCTGTCCTAAGCAATGTATTTGCTGAATAACAGGAAGAAAAAATAAACATGGAAGCCATTTCATTCTCCTGTTGCCGGGAGGATATGGTCACTTCCTAAAAGATCCGTCTGGGAGGCGCCTCCATCACCTGTGCCTTGATGCTGCATAAACACTGTCTCAGTCATGTGTGGCTCTGGAACGTTATGAACTACTTATGCCGGGTCAGAAAAAGGGGCCAGCTTCACTGCCTTGGGGCTGTGGGACCACGGGGGGTGTTCAAGTGTGCCCGTGTTGAAGGAGCCAGGTAGCACCTGGCAGAGACCCGTTACTCGACTGGTACCACACAGGGCTCGCTCTACCTGCAAAAGGAAAAAAACGTTTCTTCTTCTGTTTCTCTTACAGGAATTCAGAAGTCGGCTCGGGGCTGCGAGCTTGATGCCCCCCACCTCTGCAGCGAGTCCCAGAGGCGCTCTGCAGGGGCTCCATCAGGACCCGGCGCTGCGGGTGGCCGTGGGCCTGGCGCTGCTGGCTCTGCTTCTGGCGTTTTTTGTCAAGGTCTACACTTAGGACACAGCTAACTGGAGCGTCTGTGAAGAAGAAATTAAGATGCTCAGCGGACAGGAGAGCCACCCCGCCGGGTCTCAAGGGCAGCCGGTCGTCCGGGCCGGACTGCCTCCTCTGCAGCCTCTTCCTGACGAGGCTCACCCCATCTCGCACCGAGTTGGGCCCTTTGGCTGTTTGACCCCAAACCAGATCACAGCTGGTGTAGCACATCTTTCAAATTAAAAAAAAAAAGAAAAAAAAGCCAAAAGGTTGGGTTTGTTTTTTGGTAAGACACGCAAGCGATTGGAAACAAAAATGCGACCTTCAAGTCTGACCCCAACTCTAGGGCAACTCTGGTTTTCCTCATGTGGAAGGATTTGGGATCCCTAACAAACATTTTTAAGTGTATCTTCCTCTTTGTGCTTTTTCACAGTATACCCGAGAAGTTTATATAGAAACCCATTTTTGGAACTAGAATCCCTTTAGACTGGAGAGTGCCCGCTACTTCAGGGACTCTTGGCAGGGTTGAGAGGTGAGAACCATCCGCTTAACAGCAGACTTTGAAAGAGTGGGTTGGTCCAAAACAGCATCCCTTTTTGGATATTTTGGATCGATCAGGTCACATTTTTATTTCCATCTGATGCCTCAGTCTTCACCTAGTGACTTCCTTCATAACTGAAGGTGCTGGTGTCCCAAGCAGGCCTTCTCTCAGGATTCTACATACAGCCTGCGTCCCTTCTCACTCCCCCACCCACCCTGGGCTTTCCTCTTCTGCCTGAAAGAAAGGACACACCCATCCATTCACCAGCCCCACTCATTAGCCCCCCCCCCAATGGATCCTCCTCAAGGATCGGGGACCCTCCCCAAGACTGACCCACCTCACTGAGGCTGCAACTCCAGTCTGCACTTGGTGCAAAGAGGGAGCAAAGCCACCGTCCTGCATCAGGGCCTGGACCACAGACCAGGTCAGCCACACTGTTGGTGGTGGCAGCGGTCTGCAAATCTCCTGCTGGAGGGGTGGGGGAGGAGGATGGAAAATACCTCTCCTGAGACAAGAACCTGAATGAGTTGAGCAGTGGGGGTGTGGCCCCAGGGAGCTGCCTGTCCCTACCTGCCCTAGTGCAGTCTATCTACCCTGAACTTAGGCAGCCCTTGAGGCTTCTTTAGCCAGTGGGATGTGAGCAGAGAGTCCCATCTCTAGGGCAGTCACCTGCAGAGCCCTGTACTGGGCCGTGTGCTCTTCCTGCTGCTGCTGCTGTGACCATGGCAGGGTGAAACCTTCCACAGGCAAGTTGCTGAGGCTGGCTTTGAACTCGCAATCTTCCTGCCTCATCTGTGAGGAAATTAATTAAGATGGGGGGATTACAGGCGTGCATCATCACCCCTGGCTACATGTTTTTAGTTTACCAGTCTTTCTACCTGGGTCCTTAAGTAAATGCCAGGAGCGGAGTCCCCACCAGCATGCCTCTTGCTGGGGTGGAAGGATTGTCACTAAAGCGTGACCTCATCCAGAAGAGGATGGCGGGCACCTCATCTGGCCTGCAGGTTGTAGGGGTGATTGTCATTATGCCTGTTTCCTTTTATGTTCTCTAAACACCAAAATGTTTTTCCGTCTTATTTTTAATGTCTTTTCTTCTCTCCTTGCTAAGAGATCGACGCTTTGACCAGTTGTTTTTCCTAAACTTAGCATAAAACATGAAAATGTACATAACTTGCAATGATTTTCAAAATTTGAATATGTACTGCAGTCAGCCCCAGACAGCTCCTTGTGTCCTCCTAACCTTGAACTTCACCCCCAAAAGATGACTGCTACCCTTTATCTCCAATTTCTACCTGGAGACATTTCGCCTCTTTATGACATTTGCATAAATGGAATCGTACACTACACACATTTCACGTGTTGAAGGAGATGTGTCTGGGTTGTGGGCAGTAGCGGATCCTTTATGTTCCTTGAAGAGCCTACTGGCTAAAAGGCCACATTTGAGTTGTTTCCAGTTTCTTGGCTACCGTGGATTGTGCTGCTATAAAGATGTTTTGGAACAACTAAGTGTTTGGATGTTGAACTCTGATCTAGGAGTGGAACCACTGGGCCTTAGCACTTGAGCATGTCCAGCTTTAGTAGACACTGCCAAATGGTTTTCTGAAGCAGTTGCACAGCCCCACCAGCAAAGGACATGAACCTGGCCACTCTGTCTTCTCTTAGTGCCTCTTCCGTTCTCCGTCAGACCTGCTCTGCTGCTCCCCTTCAACGGGCCAGCTCTATTTTAATATTGATAACTGTTACCTGTCCAGCCTTTAAATGCACTAGATGACATTACAACATGAATTTTATTGGTGCTGATGGGTCCTGAAGAAATAGCTTTGGGATAGATATTATTCCCATTTAATGGGGGGGGGTGTGCAGGGAGGGAAGACCCTAAAACTCAGAAATTAACTTGCAGAGGGGGCAGAAAACTACGAAGCTGTAGGGGCCGAACTTGCTCCCAGCCCAACCCCCAAGCCAGCCCTGGTGCAGTGGGACGTCTTCCTGCTCATCCCAATCTGGCCTAAATGCGACCAGCTGCCAGCACAGATACCTAGGATTGACCACGTGAACCCCTGGGTTCTGGGGAGCCCAACTCTGTTGCCCTGCTCTGGGAATGTGTGTGGTCTTTGATAAATGTTTTAAACATATATTAATCTTTTTCTTTTATTCCCTGCTTTAAGCATAAAATAGTCAATTTGAGACTATAAAGAATTCCTTGGTAAAAACTTTGCAACTGAGAACATGTGTCTAAAAATTAGATTTTCAGGTATGCTTCAGTCAAAACACTACTTGTATGCCTCTACGCCTGGCTGAAAATTTCACTGTATGTTAGATGTTATGGAGGAAGAATTCAAGCTAGAAATGGAGCTGCAAGAAGTCTTGTATTTTTTAAATGAGGTAAAGTAGGAGATAGGAAAGTCATGAAGAAAAATGACAAGGGAAAAGGGGAAGAGATCCTCAAGTTTGGCACAACCATCCAACTGTAGAAACCGAATGGTACATCAGAAGCACTGTATAAATCAAAACATCCTGTGGAATACCTTACAGTTTACAATCAAATGTAAGAGTGTGTATGAAGAGGCTTGCCTGGGCCCAAAGGTGCCCCGGGTTGCTGCAGTGAGCTCAGGAGTACCCTGGGATATTTTAAATTCTTGAAGAAACAGCATCAGATACTATGTAAGCTGATAGCTCAAAATGGTTTCTAGTTTTCAACATCAGTTTATGCAATTTTTTATGCCATGTTTTTGTAAGACTATATTCTTAATGGCTGCTATGATTAAGAAGCACATATCCAATAAAAAACCTATGTGGAGCAGAAATGAACACAGTTGTCATATTCCAAGATCTGAGATGGGGCCCAGTGCCTGGGAGATGTACACCTGCCATTAATAATTGTGGCCATTTTAATATGAAGTAAAAATACTTTAAGATACAGGTTTTTTCCTAAGAAAATAGTTATATTAGGACACATACAAGTGCTTAGTAAGTTCTTAGGGCCTACCTACTTAATAAACAGAACGCCCCAGTGTTTCTTTGGATGAGAGATGTCATGAGTCAAGGAAGTTTGAAAACGTCTGCTCTAGGGTTGCAACCTAATGTAGAAGATCCATGCTTAACATTTCATCTTGGGTCCTACTCACTTCTCAAAATATTTCCCCCTTACCTTCAAGTTGAATTGGCCGTAGCACATCTTTGATAAGTTACACTTGGCTTATCGCTGAATTTGATTTCTAAGGTGTGGAAACCATATAGGAGTTAAAGATCTGAATCAATTGGATTCAGGTTCTAGTTGTTGCCAATACGAATTTTAGGCAGATATCTAAGGAAAAGGAGCTGGGGTTTTGAGCACCAGCAAAACTTTGGTTTAAATTCCAGCCAGGCCATTTCTCGTTTTGAGCCTTGCCCATAAAACGAGAGTCATTGAAAGATGAAGTGAGATCATGTCCAAAGATTGTCCCTCTTCTTTTGACCATTGATATACCATTTCCTCCCATTTCTTGATAACTCCAGCTATTTAAAGGTGACCCCAGTTTTATAGTTGGGAGTTTTAAATTCTGATAAATGCATAACCACCCACAATTCCATATAGCATAGAAAGTCATCCAAAGTTCCTTGAGGCACGAATCTAACAGATACAGTCAAGGAAGAAAAATTCAAAGAAAATGGATTACAGCTGTATTTGAGGAGATCAAATTAATGAATAGTGTAGAGCACAGATCTGGGTGGCGAGCCAAGATCAAGGGGATTTTCTATGGCCCAAGATGAAAAGAGCCGGATTAGTAGGGAGGCCTCCAAGTCATGCCCTCCCCCACCCTGCCTAGAGGGTAAAAGGCAATGCAGATGTTATTCTTCAGTAGTTTCCTGTCAATTATTTCCTCCCAATACCTTTCTTGGAGTTCTGTGGCCAAACATCCCAACTGTGGGGAAGTCCAAGCAAGGAGTGCATCTGGTCTCTATGGCTCTCCCAGCTAAGGACGTCTGAACACACTTGTGAGTTCTGATGAGGTAAGAGGCCAGGGAGGGGGGGAACGCCAGGGAAGGTGGGGGGGATGCCAGGGAAGGGGGAGGACGCCAGGGAAGGGGGGGAGCCCCAGAGAAGGTGGGGGGGAGCCCCAGAGAAGGTGGGGGGG